TTCTCCAACCTCCTAGCACTACATCCCTCCTTGGATAAAATATTCTTAACAACCTTGCACCATGCTCCCCTTTTAATGTCAGACACAAAGCTTCACACACATACAGAATCATGGACAAAATTATAGTTTTATATATTTTATATTTTACATTTCCATAGAGCAGACAAATAGAAAGAAGGTTCTGGAAAGACTGGTAGCAAGCACTGCCCAAATTCAATGTCCTCTTAATTTCCTCCTCAATCGAAGATTCATTTGTTACATTCTTCCAACATATTTTAACTCTTCCGCATTTTGAAAGGATCCGTTACTTATTTCCATACGTGCTTCTCACTGTGTTTACTTCTAGACCAACCTCCTTACTTGTATCAATCAGGGCTTCTGTATTTTTCTTTATGGTACTGTAACGTGTTTTGCCACTGAAGACGCCGTTCAGATTGTTAATTTGTTTATTTAACAACCTACAAATCGTAACTACAATCGATTATAACACTCTTGTGGGTTTACACACTTTACAAACCCTACTCACACATCTCTTCACACTATCTTCAGTATAGCACACGTTCCATTCTTCTTCCCACGATTGCTACATTTTAACTCACTCCTTACGCATTCCAGTCTCCGTTATAAGCCCTCAGTCAGACAGTGGGAAACCCAGCTCGCTTCATTGTTGTGTAAACGCCATGTTTACAGGCGCTGCTGGGCAACGCTGCTGAGTTGTTTAATGCTGCGTAGCAACCAGCATGCTTCAGCTTGGCTCAGCTCACTTCGGCTCGCCTCAGCACGGCATGAACAAACACCGTTTTCCTTACCGTTGCATAACCTCGTTTCCACTGTTGTGTAACCAGGCAACCGACCTTTTATCCAGAGTCTGTCTTTGTAGTAACTCGTTCCACCTCCCGTTGCCCAGCAATGGTTACACATGTCACAGTATCTATGCTTCCTCCCAATAGATTCACATCACCATCATCATCATCACAAGCAAGCACTTAACTTGTCTCATTTAATTTCAGTCCCACCTGGTTTTACTCCACCCTCCTAACAGCATACTCTAAAGCAAAGTTCAAAGGTAATGAGGGTAAAGTATTTCCTTGTTCTAGGCAATTTCAGACAGAAAACACACCAGAAAAATTTTACCTATATGGCCTTTACTACACATTTCACAAATCTTAATCAACATAACTAGTTTTGTTCGTACCCCAAAATCTATGAGAATTCTATACTAATATTACGCATGTCACAATATAGTTTTCCACGCGTTTCCATGTATAAGAGGTCTTATGACATGAAATAATCTTCAAAAGTTCCCAATATTAAATGTCAACATTCTTACCATGGATTTTCAACAATATACCATAATAATATTGTCGCGATATACCCCTCGATACGCGACAACTGGTGTCAGAAGTGGGATTAGAACTTACACACGTGACCGACGAGATTCGTACTCAAAACACGTGATAATTTGGTGTCAGAAGTGGGATACGAACTTACACACGTGATCAACGAGATTCGAACTCAAGACACGTGATAAATTGGTGTCAGAATTTTTACGAGCTTAAACACGCCTGACAAATAATTGGATTATTGTGCATCGAGTATTTGACTGCTACAAAATGGAGAAACAAGATATGCAGCGAATAATCGAAATGTTGGCAAGAATGGAGGCCAGCATGAAAACACATTACGAAGAAATGGAGGCGAGCATGAAAACCGAGAGGGAAGAGAGGAGGAAAGACCATGAAGATTTCCTGGCGATACTAGACGCCGATAGAAAGGCCCGGCGAGAACAGATGGCCGCCTGGCGAGTGAAGACTGCCGCGGACACGAAACCTGCGGCGGCACAACGAGAAGAGGTCCCGATAGCGATACCGGTCGGAGTGACGACGGCCTGCCAAGGAATGGAGGCACGTCCAGAAGAAGAAGAGCCGACTTCAGTGCACAGGAAACCTGAGGCGGCAGATCTACGAGAGGTACCCATAGAAGACGCCGAAGTAATGCCGGTCAGGGAACCGAAGAAGAAAAGGCGTAGGGACCGAAACAAGCGACGGATTATGAGTAACCCGAGGCGGGAAAATTGCGGACCCCAGAATAAATTGGCCGTCGTCAGCAGCAGGGTGTCCCGCTCTGCAAGAGTGGCGTGGCGCCGGAGAAATATCTTCAGGAAATCTTGGACCCGAGGAGATCATGCGTCCCGGATAAAGTTGGCTGCCATCTGCAGGAAGATATCCCATCGCGCGACAGTGGCACGACGTTGGAGAAATGACTTCAAGAAGGAAACTCCCCAGGGAACCGTCGGATGCCGGAGAAAGGATTTGGCACCACGGTCTCGCGCCAGAAAATGGCTGGAAGACCAGGAGGAACAACGACGTCAGCAAGTGCAAACAACGCATCTGGAGCTGTTATGTCGACCTAAGGAAACTCCAAAGAAAGAAATAACCAAGGACTGGACTTTGTGGAGGGGACGACCCCCTCCAAAACGAAAAAAGGAGCAGGGCACAGAAGAGGAGCCGGTAAAATAGAAGAACCGGCCTCCCCATTGAGAGTGAATGTGCCATGTGAGAAAGCGATGGATGAATGTGATCTTCTGGCGAGCTGAAAGGAAACCGCTCGAGACGAGCTTTGTCTTAAGACGGGAGCGGATGTAACGGACGAAGAATAGTCGCTGCAAGAAGAGTAGCCGCAACAACAGGAGACACTGCAAGAGCAGCCACCGAGGAAGAGGAACGGGGATGCACCGTTAGGCTATTCGGGACGAACAGCCTTAAGGAGGGAGCAGTGTGACATGTTGAGCTATGGATCACCCCTACCTCCCCAGCGGTACGTAGCGCTTGCGTAATAGGCGAGTAATCACCCCGCGTCATGGTAGCTATGCAACGCGCGGTGACGTCACGAGCAATAAAATACAATAAAGAGTAGTGATTTCAAATGAGATAAGATTAAGGTAGGTTGTTGCAATTGTAACGTTCAAGTCGTACTGTTTTTGCAGACATATGGCGGCAGTTTTCTTGCTCTTATACATGTGTTAAGTGATTAAAATGCTTGGAGGCCCGCAGGTATGTTATATGGAACTCTGTGATTCATGCACCACAGCACTGGATACTAGACAACTACTACTTCGACTTCGCTAATAGGGTCCTTGGAGCTTTTATGATTAAAGAATTGCGTGCAATGCAACTCAAACACCCAAAGCTAACAGTATGAAACCACCATGCTCCATAACATAAACCATTATAACTTGGTTCACAGACATTAATATTTCTCATTCATCACAACACCTAACTCCATGATGTCACATATTTATTACCTACTCATCACAAGACAAACAAAATTATCAGGAAGATATTTACACCTAAGAAGGATCACATCTCAGCAATTCAGGACACTGAACTAAATATAAATACAGTATATCACCCAGAATTTCTAACACTTCAGTAGCCTCACAAGTAGGAAGCATTACAGGGCACATAACATTCATACCAAATTTTCTGTGGGGAAACCTCCTGGAAAGTGGATCTTTGCAAGAGGAAACGCCTCATGGCTGAATAACATTAAAACAGGAGGTATCAATAAGCAGATATTTGATCACAGCTCGATTCAACTGGCTATAAATCACATCTAACAAACATCTCTGTGACTGTGACTTTCAACCTTCACATTCTGCTGCTGCAACAATGCTTCTTAACATTCAATCAGTCACTTAGCCTTCGCTAAGGTTTAGGACCACGACAAGCAGTAATCATGTCTCTACTATAAACAAAAACTCAGGACAACTGCATTTGCAGATGTTATGTATAATCACACATAATCATTAAGAGCAATATAATCTTCACACAGTTCAACTAGTGGTTGTCTCCTCATATGACATCCCACAACAGAATGAAAATACAGTCAACTATTGATTATCCGGGGTAATGGTGGGGATGGAAATCACGATTAATCGAAAACCCGGTTAAGACAAATTTTATTAGAAGTAGTACTGTAATACTGTACCTTCATAATAGTATAGGCCTACCTGTATTTAAATTTATTCGACCTCATTTTTATGTCATCTCATGGCCTATTTAATACTCTTTTTACATTACACTGAAGTATGAATTAGTTACTTCAATCACAGTGTTCAACAACATCCAACATTTTTTACGAATATTCACACTTAACACTTAAAAAAATTAATATTTTCGTTTGCTTTTTCAGGGCATTTTCCTTTTTACGGATATCCATATGAAGCCTACGTAATATTAGCTTGTCACTTAATAAACTCTTCTCTTCACTCTCAAGATAGTCTAGTAAGGATTCCAAATGATTAAGAGCAGCACCATGTGATACTTTCTTACTAGCAGCACTGTCCACCTCTTTCTCATTCTCACTTTCTTCCTGCTCTTGTGACTGCAGCCCCACTTAACTTACAATTTCATCACTGCTTAACATTTCGAAGCCTGGCTCACATGAGTTACTGTTGAATAGTTAACACAACACACTTCCTTTTACATGCTGACATTTTGCTAATGCACTTGAAGATCGATACAAAGAGACTAATTGGGGTGGTGTATCTGTCCTTGAAACTTTCCACAAATCCTTGCATTCTTTCACCCCTACCCTAGAACACTGTGTTAGNTTACATTCTATCTTACAGCCAAGCAGCACTTAAAGCGCTTGACAAACAACAGATCAACTCAAAATTGTTCTCTACTATAAACAAAAACTCAGGACAACTGCATTCACAGATGTTATATATAAGCACACATAATCTTTAAGAGCAATATAATCTTCACACTAGTAGAACAGAACTGAAATACTAGCGAATGTTATGAGTGCATTTCCAGTAATATCAAGGGACAATATTAATATCTGATGTCTAAATTCATTCCATTAAACTAAATTCCATCATTACTTCTGCACAGTTGTGGGATGATAAGATGCTCAATGACATGCTTCATAAACATTAATCAAGACGAGGGTAATCTGTCAAACATACTCCAGTTAACCTCACATCTCAACCTGCCACTGAATACTTACTTTATTCCTCTCACTAGAATAATCTACTGTACATAACAAGCATCAAACTCAATCAAGTATAAAGAAATCCAGTCAACTCTACACACTACTTGGTAACTGTCATCACCTCCAAAATGTGTGATAACACAAGAAACACAACTGTACAACGTACATGTTTCACTAACAGGGCACAAATAATAATACTAATCGTACAATTAGTACCAGTGGATTCATGGGAAATTCGTTTACATGGTATGAATACTATTCCACAGAAGCCCACAACAACATAACTTTTATTTTCCTACAATAACATAATACTGCATGATGGAGACAAAACCTGTCACACTGTGTTCATGATTCATGTCACTGTTCATTCGGGCAGGGAAGGGCCAAGTTCAGTTACCTGAGGTTATAATAACTGGGGCATAATATCAATAACCAAGACACTGCAGGCTCATGCTGTCAGAAACATTTTGCACACATCCAACTCTTCAAAATTCCCCCAAGGAACTAAAACTTACAAAGCTCTATACTTCACAGTGCTTACTATTCCTGAAGACTGGCCTGGTTTACATCTGGTAAGTAACACTGGAGGTGTAGGGAATTTCAAGTTCAATTACCACTCTTCCACACACTGCCCTGGTTTCCTGAGAGATGAACACATGGTTTGACCGTACTTTCTTTTTGTCTTCTAAATACATAATTTACCGCATTCAGTCTCCAATCATGTACAACACAAGTAGTTATTTCGTTCTTACCTGCAGATCATGGTGCCAGCACATAAATGGAACTCAGATATTCAGACCCATAATGTTATCTGAGGGGACGTAGATTCTCCTGAACAGTAGGTGGATACCACACATGTAGAATCAAATCCACTCCTCCCTCCAGCACCCACTGAAACACACTGTGCACACCATTAAAGATTTGATATGAACTTATTAAAGAAGAACAGATGGCTAGTAATAATTAGGCCATGCTCCTCACTACGCACACATTCTACTTGCCTCCAAGCTGCCTCTGATAAGTAGATTGGTCATCTGTCCGTTTCGGTGCCTATACCTACAAATTCTCTATACTCAACAAGCAGTCCCAACGTTCCAATATATTGTAATAACAAGTAACCTGTATCATATAACAGATCCCAACGTACCTCTCAATTACAGACCAATATCCATATTGACTTCATTCTCAAAAGTCTTTGAAAAAGTTATGTATAATAGACTACTTGAACACTTAAATTCTAACAACATATTAGTCAAAGAGCAATTTAGATTTAGGAAAGACCTAACAACAGAAAAAGCAACCTATGAACTAACTAACGATATTTTAAGTGCTCTCAATGACAGATTAATTGTGGGAGGGATTTTCTGTGATCTAGCAAAAGCTTTTGATTGTGTTAATCATGATATCTTACTATCGAAATTAAATTTCTATGGAATAACTGGCAAAGCTAATGAATGGATCAAATCATACCTCAAAAACAGGTATCAAAGAGTTGAAATAAATAATAAAAACTCCAGTCATAATGCA